GAAACTTACTCTCAACCAATCAGAAACTACCAACAACTAACTTCTAACTAGGAACTTTATAGCTACTGTTACACTTTAACCAATCAAATATTTTCTTTTTCTTGCTTCCAATAAATACCTTATAGAAGTTTTCCCCTCCTGCCACCTTGGTGGAGCCCAAACTGCTTGTGGTTTGTCATCACCCGATTGATGAATTGCTGTCTACTCAAATAAACTTCAAAATTTTAATGTGCCTGGGCCGGCCCGGTGGTGCACTGCTACAATGCGCCGCTTGGGAGTGTGGTGGCGCTCCCGCCAAGGGTTCGGATCCCACATACAGACCGGTTCCCGCTCACTGGCTGAGCGAGGTGCGGGCGCAGCACCGAGGTTTGCGATCCCGTTGCTGGCCACGAAAAAAGACAAAAAAGGAAAAAAAAAAAATTTTTAATGTGCCTAAGTTTTACGTTTAACAGCACATACATGTACATACAACACATATTTTACAATTATTTTTAAAAAATGAAGTGTTAATAGTTTTCCCCACATACATAATGTCCTGGATAGAACACTTACCCTAGTAGGGTAGATGGTAAGTTGTCTTTAACCACTACTTTATTACATAAAATGCTTCACATGACTTTTTCTTTTGCACTAATTTTCTCCTTGTAGCCTTTTAAAGATATGTTTAGCTTCATTCTATTTGGACTTAAATGCAAACTTTTTGTGCGTGTGGCTTTTTTGACCTTTGTCTTCCTGTTTCCTTTGCCTTTTTGCCACTGAAATTCAAAGACAGTAAAACATGATTCTCCTTTTCAACACATCTTAGTGCCTTTCAATGTTCATAGTCAGGAAGTCCTGTCTGGTCTACATAAACTCTTTTGGTTAGTCATTGTAAAACCAGGGAGAAGAGGATGGGGCTGGGCCCAGTGGTAAAACATTCAAGTGATGAGAGAAAAAAAGAGGAAGTAGGGAAAGAAAAGCGAGGGAGAAAGGAGGAAAGGCAGGGAAAATATAAATAACTAAGAAAATTGGGAAGAAAGGGGGGTTGAAGAGAGAATCCTCCCAAAGCCAACTTGACTCAGGCCCTTCAAGAAGTCTTAACTAATCCTACACCCACCATGGTCAACTCTTTTATTGTGTTAACTCAGGATAAGTACTTAACCACGTTGAGATTGCTGGAATGTTGCTATGGTGTCCTGTGGTGTTCTACTGCAATGTTATACAAGAATCTGGCCATGGTTTAATTAATTTTGTGTGGAACTTTCCATGCACAAGACTGTTGTTCACAAATGTACTCTGAAGAGGACTCAGGAGTGAAGCCCTAATGGAGGCTCTGGTGAAATTTTCAGTGATTCATACTCCTTTCTGAAGATTTAAATTCTGCGTCAAGATTCTTATTCTGCTATAGTGAAACCTCTCTGTGATAATCCACTACTGGGATTCACAACACAATACCCCAAAGTATGGAACCTTGGCATAATGAGTACTTCGAACTGAAGGAAATTGGAAAGGCTTCAAAGGCAAGGTCTTTCTGACCTTCTCCCATCCTCCTGTCTCACACTCCTCTTTATCCCCCATAAGCAAGTCATAGAAACCAGAATTTCTCTTCCTCCAGGTGGGTCATAGAAACTAGAACTCCTCTTCCCCAAAGCAAACCATAAAACCTAGAAAGGCTACTCTTTCCCTGCTCCCTTGAAGACCCTCATTCTAGAGAGGTCCTACCTTATACCTGGGAGGAAGAAACGTTACAGAAAGACCAAGAAGCATCTGAACAGCCTTGCCAGGTTCTCTCCCTCAGTCTATTACCATTAGATCCTACCCCATTGTCCAATCACATTTCTACATGACTTTCCATTCTGCATCAAACCTAAGCATAAATATAGACAGTTTTACTTGGGTCTCTGAGTCTTCATTTCTGAAGGCTCCTGTGTCATGTAAAACTTTGATTAAGTAATTTTTTGTGCTTTTCTCTTAACCTATTTTTTGTTATAGGAATATAGGTTGTGACCCTCATGATGGGTAAGGAAAGGTATCACACCTTTCTGTCCCTACGCCAGTCACATAAGAGTTTACCACATAATTTTGGAACGGACAGTGACTTCAGATGTCATTAAATTTAACGTCATCTTGGCTTCATCACATTTTGCTCTGGGTGAGTTATTACTCACTTTGTGCCTCAATTTACTCAACTGTGAAACACGGTTAAAATATTACCTACCTCAATAGGGTTTTATGAAAATTACATAATGAAATTTACATAAATGTAAAAGCACTTTGAAGCATGTACGTAGTAATTGCTGAAAAATGTGAGCTATTAACAATTGATAAAGATAAGCCTGTTATTGTTACATTAACTGTTTCTCTATGACCGCAGATCTGTGTGGTGTGGGGAACCCACAACGGTGGGGGGAGGATTTCCTGGAGACTCTTTTCAGGGGTCTGTGAGGTCAAAACTATTTTCTTAATAATACTAAGAAGTTATTTGCCTTTTATATTCTCATTCACTCAAGGAGTTGGAGTGGAATTTTTCAGAGCTACATGAAGTGATAACCTTAATAGATAGAAGCAGCTAGAGAATTTGGTTGTCTTCTATTAAGCCAGACATAAAAAACTTTTCTAAGTTTTTAATTTTAACGTCATAAAATTGTTATTTATTTTTAACATGTAATGTATTAGTTATTTTAAATCAATATTTAAAAACTTTGTTTCAGGGCCTAGCCCGTGGCGCACTCGGGAGAGTGCAGTGCTGGGAGCGCAGCCACACTCCCGCCGCGGGTTCGGATCCTATATAGGGATGGCCGGTGCGCTCACTGGCTGAGCGCGGTGTGGGCGACACCACACCAAGGGTTGCGATCCCCTTACCGGTCACAAAAAAGACAAAAAAATAAAAATAAAAACTTTGTTTCAGTTCTAATACAATAAAATGATACAACAAAAGCTCTTTGAGGTCCTCAATAATCTCTTAAGAGTGTAAAGGGATCCTGACAACAAAGTTTGAGAGCCAGTGCTGTGATGCGAACCGTGACTGAACAAACATGGACGCCTTGTGATGGCCACACTTCATTCTTTCCAGCCTCCGTGCCTTTCTTGTGGTTTTCTCTGCCTGAAGGAACTTCTTCCATTTCTGCCTGCCAAAGTCCTTCCCCTCCTTCAAGAGATCTAAAACTGGTTCTGCTTGAAGCTGGTACAGCTTTCGGGTCCTCGACACCCTCTTCCGCGACGCGGGGCCCTCCAGGGAAGGTCCGAGCCTTCCCGGGACACCTGCCCTTCTCAGTCTTGGGTTAACACTGTGTTCACTGAGACTCTCGAGTTGAATGGCTTTCTCCCGACCACGGCGCTCCTTCCAGCACCAGCCCGGTAAAGCCACCGTATTCCCCGACTAAGAGGCTGCAGTGCCTGGGCTCAGCAGCCGGACGGGGCCGAAGGGTCGCGGGGAGCGGCAACGGATTCAACTAGTGCCCAGAGGGGCGAAGAGCGGCGGGAGAGCCAAAGCGGGTCCCCGCAGTCCTGGCTTCCCGGAAGCGCCCCGCCGAGTAGGGGCGGAGCCACGCGCCTACAGAGGGCGTGGCCTCCAGGCCGCGCGGGAAAGGGGCCGGCGCCGCTTGCGCGCGCACAGTCAGCGGCCGCGCGCAGCACGCTGAGGGCGGGGATGGCGGCGGCGGCGGCGGCGGCGGCGGGGGCGGGGG